CTCAGGAACGGGCCTGGCTGTAACCTCGGTGAATCCCCTATTTGCGCATTTCACAGATCGCTATCAAGTAATATCAAGTAGTTTGATTTTACTTGATATCAAGTCAAGTAGTTCAGACCGGAAATCAAGTCAAGTCAAACATCAAATTTTCAAAAGCTTGAGTTTTCAAGTCAAGTCAAGTATTTAAGAAAAAATTCAAGCTACTTGGCTTGATGAATCCCTGCGTTCTATGCCTAATCTCGCACAGAATGAGGAGAAAGATTGGCTTGTAAAAATTGTGCCCCTATCGCAAATAAGTCTTCGAGGTGCTCCAAAAGTTTCAATCAAATCATTCAGAAATTTAACAACTGGTGGTGTTTTGTGTTCGGTACTGCCTTTAGAATGTAGTTTTTGATATAGTTCCGCATTGATGGAAACCAGTACCACTTTGCCACTGCCTCTAGTGTTTTATCAACAGCAAAATGTCCTGCTGCATCATGATTATACAAAAGTAAAGTGGACGAGTTGGGGACCATCCATCGCAAACCGTGTGGCGTTTTTCGATAAACTCTATTATTTTTTAAAAGATATTCTTTGTATACACGTCTATCATTTTCATCAACTGGTACACGTGACAAAACTTGATGTATTTCCTTGCAGGGTTTATCATTCATCTGGGCGGCACACCCAATCAGAGTTAGACACATTGACATGAAGAATATCAACTTCTACTGATTCATCAAACTCGGTAGACAGCGGATTTCTGCATCCACATGAGCCATCTTTGATCCTGACCTATATTCGATAGTAAAATTAAATTTCTGTGCAACCATCGACCTATTCGTGGAATTAAGTCGCGCTTAGTCAGCGTAGTCCTAAGGGCGTTACAATCAGTGACTACTTTGAATTCAATTTCTATCAGATACACACGAAATTTCTTCATACTACAAACAACAAATAGAGTCTCAAGTTCGTATGAGTGGTAGACCTTTTCTTGGTTTGTGGTAGAGCGAATGAAGTACTATACAGGCTTCAGTTCTCCATTCATTTGGCGTTGTATCAATATCCCACCAATACCAAGCTTACTAGCTTCAGTGTGAAGCTGCGTAACATCGTTTCTATGAAAAACAGTCAGCGTGAGACGAGTTATAAGTTTCCCTTTAAGTGCTATAAATGCATTCTGCTGTTCGGTCTGCCAATTGAAAGAAGCGCATTTCTCTGTTAAATCGATAAAAGATTTCGCAATAAGCGCAAATCCTTCAATATACTTGCGAAAATAACTGGTGAGTCCTAGGAACTGTCGGATTGTATGTACGTCTGTCGGTGTTGTAAAATCTCGTACAGATTCAATCATTTCGGATCCAGGTTTGATTCCTTCATAGAAGATTTCATGTCCCACATAACTTATTTGACTCAAGAGAAATCAACATTTATTAAAATGTAATGTCATATTGGCTTCACGTAAGAGTTTTAGTTTTAGAACGTTTTCTAAATTCGTTAATCCATTTTTTTCATATATGACGATATCAAAATATCATCTAATGGTAGGTACGATTTGTCTGAACCGGTTAGCGTTAGTGCGGTGCAGTTATTATTCAGGTGATCGCAGATTAGAAAAGTGTTGAAATTTCGGTTGAGTATAAAAAGTTGGAAACCATCTTAACTACACCGGAGTATGGAACGCTAATGGTACGAATGGTGTAAAAAGTACGACATTAATGACGGGTCAGGGTAAACAGTGTCAGTAGTTGGACTTATCGTACGCACCATAAGTAGGTACGCCATAGCTGTAGTATAACTGAAAGAACCTAGAATTTTATGAATTTTCCTCTGAAAGACTGCAGGCGCATTTACGAGACCAAATGGCATAGTTACATACTCGTAATGGAAATCGGGGGTTATGAAAGCTGTCTTTTCGATAGGATTCGAAGCAACTGGCACATGATAATATCCAGAAGCAAAATCTAAACTAGTAAAGTATTGAGCACCTTTGAGCCCATCCAGTAAATCATCAATGCGCGGCAGAGGATATTTATTCTTGATAGTTTTAGCGTTCAAAGCATGATAATTTACGCACATACGCGATTCGCCGTTCTATGTTACGGTTAATATATATGCAAACCTGCTGGCTAGTTTGTACACTAGCTGGATAGTTTACAAACTAACCAACCCACTGGCTATTTTGATAAAAAACACAATTTTCACTAAAATAGCAGCTAGTTTACAAACTAGCCAAGAGGCTAATTTACTTGAAAATCTTGAAATTATTGAGAAAACTAAAATAGCTGGTTAGTTTATAAACTATCTAATGCAGCCTGGCTAATATGAAAACCATATTTTCTAGTAACACAAAATAGCCAAACCTTTGGCTAGTTTATAAACTAGCCAACCAATTTTCTGGCTTCTGACGCTTCTTTAGTAGATTTGTATAATAATAAAGCAAATAATTCCCTACTTTATAACGAATGAAATCTGGCAAAATATTAGCTTGTATGGACGATTTGTTTGATATTATTGAAGAATATCACCAATTAACTGGACACGGCGGAAGACAAGTTACAACAAAGCTAATAAATCAAAAATATTCAGATATTACCCAAGAAATTTCAACTTTGTTCCCTCGATGGATGTGAGAATTGTCAGTTAAAAAAGAACAAAGCAAAAATTTGTATTTTTTTCATCTCTAATTTATCAAAGAACACTAAACTTTATTTGTGAATTAGCCAGAAAATTGGTTGGTTAGTTTACAAGCTATTTTGTGTTACTAGAAATCATAGATTTCAACTTAGCCAGGCTGCATTGGATAGTTTATAAACTAACCAGCTAATTTAGTTTTCTCAATAATTTCAAGTAAATTAGCCAAGAGTTTTGGTTAGTTTGCAAACTAGCTGCTATTTTAGTAAAAATTGCGTTTTCTATCAAAATAGCCAAGGGGTTGGTTAGTTTGTAATTGTGAACTATCCAGCTAGTTTACAAACTAGCCAAGTTTGCATATTAACCGTTATCATATATAATAATATGAGTCTTCCCTAGTTCAGACATATTTGTAGAAAAACAGTCTCTGTATTTATTAAGCAAAGAAAGAAGTTGAATTTTTGTGCTTGTCTCGATGTCAGTCCTGACAACATTTTCTAAATCTTCTAAAGAAAAATCTTTCATAGATTCTTGATTTATGGGACAATCATTTATTTCATCAAAATCACTTTCAGGATTACACAAAAACCCTCGTGCTACTACTCGATCCTTTTCATAACAAACTAGATATTCTGCTGTGTTTGAAATCGGCACTAAACCACTCTTCGACAGATCGGTGATACAACGAGGTATCACATGAAACTAATTAGGCCGCGGCCTTTGCTGCAAGTTATTAAATACCTCTTTGACTTTTTCACTAGAATATAAGAAAATGTGACCAATATGGTTGGGAGGTATGACAGTAGTCTCCTTCGCCCATAAAATAATTTTACGAGGAGGCACATTATCAAGTGGCATATTATTCGAATTAAAAAGTCTAACCTGACCTCCACGTGTCACCATATATCTGGGTGATTAATAAAAGGCTGGCCAACAATTATTGAAACATTTTGTGCATGATCGGGTACAACAAGAGCTACAACTTTATGGTTTACAATTGAAGAGTCTCCTGCAAATCCACTCAGACGTTTTTGTACATGTATTGTCCGTCGTTTTTAATCTGACACTTTCCGTATGAGGAGCGAGGGGGTGAAGCATATGGCAAAGATAGCTGTGACATCAAGTGACCATTGGCTTTCTAAAGTAGAGAGCCACCAGGCTCCCATTCATTTCGAGTATCAGATTAAAATTGACGGACTTCAGTTGTAACCCTAAAGCTTTGACGTAAGATGCACGTAAAGTAACGATACTGCTGCCGGAATCGACATATCCACGTAAAATATTATGATTTATAGTAGCAATCGATAAAGTAACATACATTTGTCTCACAATTATTTTGAGCAGTTTCTATATTGAAAATAGGTTTAGACTTACTAGGTTTGTAGAAGTTTTGCTTTGGGCAATTCTTTTTTTCGTGTCCCAATAACTTACATTTTCTACATTCCTTCCTAGGTTTCGAACATTTCGAAGCTATATGAGGCATATAGCTAAATCTAGAGACCCTGTTGGCAATTTCAGTTGTTCACATCAATATTTAGTGCTGTCAAGTATTGTTCGTATTGGTTTTCTGGGGTTTGGTAACGTCCAGCTCTGATACTATATTTGAAAACTGCTTCTTTTCCAGAAACGCGGCAGCTTCTTAGGAGTTCCATTTTTGCAAAATAGTAGATACGATGTCATCGATTCAGATAATATTTTCTTCCGATTCAACATTAATTGCCGAAGGGTCGCATAATCAGTATGGTCTGGAAAACCATGTTTAAGAAGAGTTTTCCATTCTTCTCAAGTCAAATTATTGTAGTTAGATAAACTGTGCTTCCATGTCTTTGCCATGACCAACAATCTTGACTGCATGTGGTAAATGTTTGTAATATTGTCCCAATAGTTAATGGCTTTTAATTGATCAATCTTGAAAAGCCACTGTCGTGAAGTCAAATTATCGTTTTCTGAGGAGAATTCAGGTATGCAATCACTTCTAACAATTAATCTAGGCAATTCAGATCTACTTCCAATTGATTGTGTTTGTCTATTTAATTGTCTGACCATATTTTGGATTCGTTCAGAATTGTTTTTTTCGGGAGAATTCGAAATATAGGGATATGTAGCTGACGTTGCTGTCGCGTTGATGTTAGACACCTGAGCCTCAACAACTCCAGACTTTACATAATTTCCTGAAGTTGGATGATCTGGTTCTGGACGTTTCCTTGATTCTGGCGTGTATGTTCTAACCGTTCTGCTAACATCTGTTGTTATATCACAAAGCCCTCATCAACAGATGGCGGTATTTACATTTCATTTACAATTAATTTTATTAACTTCACCCAAACAATAAACATTTTTTTCCATTTGTGTTTTCAAGTAACTAATAGTATGTTTTTTTTTTCCAGGAATCAGAAATATACCAAAAATGCATCCGACCTCCGCCGAATCGAACCGTTATGGACAGCGATTCACCTCCACCTTACCGATCGAGTTCGGCAGGTGTCCTTGCCTCGTGTTCCTCGTCTTCCGGTGCGAGCAGTGATTGGTCGTCACCATCGGGGAACGCACCGCTGGTAGTCCGATGTCATTCGATGTCCTCAACGTCATCGACGATGACCTCCAAGTTGGGAACCCATGGGGGTTCCCATCATCATCACCACAATGCCTCGTCGCAGGGCGGTCAAAAGACTGATTTTTTACAAAGAACTGTTAAAATATTTACGGGCAAAAAAACGCCCACGTCGACGTCTAGTAGCCATAATATGACGCCTGCGCCTTGCGTCATAGTACCGCAAAGTCGGCACCAACCGAGGCGGGACAATGCAACGGGACCTGGACATCGACCGCCCGTCTGACAACCGCCCTTAATTTAGATGACAATTTACGTGGGGGTTTAGTTTATTCCATTTTTTCAAATTGTAAAAGTAGTAGGGCCCGGAAAGAGAGGGACGTCATGATTAGACGAAACGAGAATTTTAATTTAAAGACTGATTATAATAATTATATTTCTATCAAAACCTGATTAAACATTTATACGTATTTCAAATTGTGCATAAATCATTATCTACGTATTCAATTTAATTGGATAATCAATGGCAAACCACTTTTTTTTTATTGGTGCCAAATTTAGGAATCAGTCTTTAAAGGACACAAGAAAATGTCTTAAGAAAATGAAAATCCCATTTCGGGCTGCTACAGATTTAATGCAACTGAAATTAGACTTATACTACTACAAATAAGTTATAAGACAAATCAACATTAGTACGATAAACACCATGCACAAAGGTTCTTAAATTATTTGAGGTAGTTGATGTGTCTACAAATGAGTCGGATGTGAAGCATAAAAAAATATTTATATCAGGGATAGATAAAAAAAAAGGACAATTTTTGGATGTGGTTTAGTGTGCAAAGACTTAAAAATGGCGGAATATCGTTGACGTATTTAACTAGTTTAATACATTTTATGAAGAGGCGCGGTGTGCGTATAGCCAAATATTCTAGTATTATGTGTACTGTGTACATGATAGTGGTTAATGAAAACGAAACTTTTTCAACTGCGAATGCCTTTATCATTGCCTCTAAGAAAATTTAAATTCAATTTGATTTTTATTAATATGGACCTCGCACAAAACATACGGAAAATGTGTTTATGTCAAATCATCTGATTTTTTGATAGTGTGTCAAGCTCGATATCTTGAATAAAAGTTATCATTGCGCCAAAGCCCAGTAATGAACAGTTTTTGAAATAAACGCCCACAAATATAGGTGACTCTTATAGAAAATGACATCAAAAAATTAATTATCTACAGGTGAAAAATGCGCTGATAAGTGAAATCAGACTAGCAAAAAAACACTATTTCATTGGTAGTGCAATTTTTGTTTATATGAGTATCTTCAATAATCAAAATGGAGAAAATGGAGCTGACTTACTTTGCTTTTGAGTTTATCACTATGGCTGATGTCGATTTCCAACATCCATAACCATTTCTAGTAGGATAGTGCACATTGGGTTGATGTCGCGCATACCCCAAATACCATAAGAAGCTTGCAATATGGCTACAACAACCCAATGTCCTTGCACCAGATTTGGAAGTGCAGTAATGTCCCAAAATTGCTTCTTCCATTTGTTCAGGATTTTGCTGCAGTTCCTGAACGGTTTTATAGGTAATCCATATTTGGTACCTACTTAGTAGCATTTCTAAAGCGGAAATAAATTCGGGTACAGTGGCAGCTTGTCAGTAAGCCTCCCCCAAAAAATTGAAAACTCAATCTCAGTTTTTTATTTCTGATTCCTCATTAAAATAATAATTCACAAATCACATTTTCCAAATCTCGATATTTCAATGTTATTTAGAAAAATCTGACAAAATTATTTCAATCAATCCCGCGCCTCCACGACAAAAATCAGTGAATCTGGGATACTCAGTAATACGAGCCCGAAGGGCCGGAGTTATACGCGAGCTTAAAGGGCCGGAGTAATACGAGCTCGAAGGGCTGGAGTTATAGGCGAGCCCGAAGGGCTACAGTTATTTTAATCACGGGGCCCAGTCTATAATTCTATTGGTCAGCGGATAATTTGGAGCCTATCAAAAATCGGGAATATTCAAAATGTGATTTTTAGTCGATATTCCGAGTTTCAGTTCTCTCCGGTGTACCGGAAAAAAGTTAGCCTCCCCATCTTTCTTGATTTTGAATTTTTTTCCCGCATTTCCAAAAAAAAAAAAAAACATCGGATAGAGGAGCAAAAAAAACGTTGAAAAGCTTATGAGACCCTGCTTGCTATGACGCATTTTAAGGCCGGGAAAAAATTAAAAAAGGATATTTCGATTTTGGCCAGATAAAAATTTCGACGATCTGATACGACATTACTATTTCGCTTATAGCTCCGCTATTTCCCAACCGGTTATATCTCTTCTAAAAGAGAATGAAATTACCTATAAAAATTTTTTTCATTGAGATTCCAGGCCGTTTTCGTCTTTGAGATATCAGCTGTCAAAGTTGAAATTCTTTGTAGTTTTGATAAAATTTTCCAGGTCGATTTTCTCGAAAACGGTGTCCCGTCGCAGGATACTTCTTATAGGCTTTTTTGTAGTACTCGACGAGATCTATAAGTTTTGTTTTTGAAATTTTTCTCCCCAGCTTTTCGTTTTCGAGTTGGGACGCTTTGAAAATTAAAAAAAATAAATCGAAGGCCCTTTGATTTTGAATTTTGAATTTAAAAAAAAACAAATCCATCGGATAGAGGAGCAAAAAATACGACGAAAAGTTAATTTGACTCTTCTCGCTACGGCGCATCTTAAAGCCGGAAAAAAATGAAAAAGGAAATTTCGATTTTGACCAGAAAAAATTTTTTAGCTGTATTTCTCAAGTGTTTCAAAAACTTTTGCAACTCTTGACCTGGAATTACGTAGGGCCCGTTTACAAATCTCAAACCTGGCAGAAGTCGTTGCAAAAGAAAACCGTTTCTGTCCAAATAGTAAGCACAACTTTTAACAAATTCTAGAACATATATGTCCCTATTAAGGAAGATATCCACCCTGGTCTTGGTAGATAATCGGGGTTCATTTAGTGAGTTCCACCCTGGTCTTGGTAGATAATCGGGGTTCATTTAGTGAGTTGCAAATCAGACACGAATGGCCTGAACTTTACGTCAAAACATTGAGCCTCAAACAAGCGGGGTCTCGTTGAATAGCATTTATTTCCCTAATAATGGCTCTTCTCTTTTGCATTTTGCATTTCGCTAGTTCACATTCATAATTTATATCTGTTCGAAGCTTCCGGTTAGAAATTTTATAAAAGAGTTTGTGCCGGTCCAGTTTTCAGTAATTGATCTAGTTAACTTAGACCTCAATAGGTTCTCATTGAAGTGTTATCGCTACCAAGTTTTTGTTGGTAGCATACCAAGCATGGATGAGTTGAAGAAGTTGATAACCCCTGCGAAGGGAAACTTAGTTTGCGGCAACTAAATAAGGATTACAAAACCCTGATACGCGAAAACATTCCCTATCAAAGGTTTGGTTTTAGATCACTAGAAGACTTATTGCAGCTGGCACAAATTCTTGTGAGTTCGTTGGTTTCTATGATAGGCCTAATGTTTGCTAGACGCCATTGTTGAGCTATGGCACACTTATCGGCATTTTCATCTCCAACAAAACGCACCATTAACCTGGGAGGAAGTGCCGCAAGACATAATTATGAAACAGTGCAATATATTCCTCATTTGATGTCATTGTCTATAAGATTAATCCATATTTGTGGGAGTACAAACATTATTAGGCTTTGGTGCAATGATAACTTTTATTCGGGACATCGAGCTTAACACACTATCAAAAAATCAGACCATTTGACAAAAACACATTTTCCGTAAATTTTGTGCGGGGTTTTTTGTTCAATTTATATTATAAAGTTTTGCAGTTAAAAGAGTTTTAAAGGGTAAAAAAAATAAGCAGATATATTATGTGAATCAAAATATATTTGGCGAAGAAGCCGCTAGGTCGCAACAAAAGATATTCCAATAAAAGTAAACCAATTATAATTAAGTAGTAGAACGTTGTTCTGTTTTTAAATATTGTTTATTAAGGAAAAAAATTCACCTGGAACCTTAAACAAAAACATATTGAATGTAATGCAATCCGGCTATATTAAATTAATTTTGATATTTATTATTATTGTTTTCTATTTTTGAATTTGAGCTGGTTGTATTGGATCCATTTGTTGTTTAAGTGCAACAAAAACAAGCTAGAAGGAAGACTTAGTTAATTCTCGTAAGCAAATTTGCGTTAACATTTTTTATATTTGTTTATAATTATTGCTATAAAAAAAAAATCGTGTTCATTCTATATTCTAAGAGATTATAGCGTCGTTTTACCACACAACTTCGAATGTTTTAGGTCGACCGTTTTTGTTTCAAGATTTTCATGAAATTGCTGAAAAATATTTACTAATTTTTAATGCATCTGTTCTTTCGCAAAATCTAAACACAAGCAGTCATGGTTTTTAAACATATTATGTAAGACACAGATGGAAATAATTAGTTGTTTAGTCTAGAAACTGGTGCACAAACACAATAAAAAGCCTTCAAATGGATTTCAAGAAATTGCCAATAATAACCGAAAGTAATTTCAGGAATAAACTGAACATTAACGGACGATCTCGAAAACTAGCTAAGAATTGAAATTTCTAAGTATATTACAAAACTATTGTAAATGGTAGACGAAATAAAAACGTATGTTAGTGACAACATAAGCATTATTGTGATGATTATGTAAACTATTAGGTGCTTGGGAAACATATGTGCATTTAACTTCACCAAATGGTTCATGTTGGGTAGGGAGACACGTACAACAATAAGTGATTATCTTAATTTTTTCCTTCCAAAATTAATTCACCTTTATTCAAGACAATAACACAAAAATCACCACACTCCGTTCAATAACAATCAAGCTAAAAAACATACCAAAAATAATTCACTCTCTTACTATCAAATTCCATTCACGAAGTTTCTAGTCATCAGGCATTGTTGCACAATTTTCCCAACTTGAAATATTTATAACAGTATTAATTCAAATTCAAATATTATTTTATGTGTTTACATAGAATTTATCAAAATCAAAGTTTCAAAAAGGAACATTGGTACTAGTGAATTTCTGTGATTTGATTTTAAATCTATTCCAACCTCTCTTTCGCAGAAGTCTCAAAATTTATTATAGCATTAAGTTATAGTTTCAACATCTTAAAAGATAAGTGAATATGAAAAAGAAACGGACATTTTGAAAAAAAGAAAAAAATATAAATTTTCACAATTTTAAAATTTTGGAAATCTTAAAACTTTTTTTTAAAATTCGTATTGGATTTC